TGCTTCGGGTCGTGGGAGCTTCTGAAAATTCCATATAGTAGCTCGCTGTAGTTGTCGACCGCACGAGTAACAGTGTAGTCGGGGGACGAGTCTGTGATGGGGTACGGATAGCCTGTTGAACCACTGTCGAGAACCTCATCCAAAGCTAGCCTTGCTGCCTCGATGTCCCCCGTAACATGCTGATAGAGCAGCGAAAGATCGATTCGTAGCGGTGCAGCTGCATTGACGTTTTCCAAGTACTGAATGGAGTCCAGGTATAACTGGAGGACAAAATCAACCTCTCCGGACTGGAGGGCAGCTTTACGGAGCAATCGTGATCTATCGTCGTGGTAGTCGTCGTATTCCCAGCAGAGCCAGGTCAGTCGCTGTAGCGGGCTCCAATTCTTCAAAACACCGATGAAGCCTTGCTTACTATCCTCCTCCGAGAATAGATCAAGTTCTTCGTTTAAAATTTCCCCAGTCATAAGGGTTGTCGGATCGATAGATCTTGCGTGAGCGTAAGAGATCGCGGCTGCTTCATTCATCTCCAGCTTTGCCTCGATTCTCGCCTTGGTGATACACACTGTGCGGCGCAAAGGTAACGGAACAGTTTCGTCGTTCATCTTTCCGAAACACTCGAGAATATCTCGATGGCTGGCCTGGGCATCATTCTCCAAACGGATTCGGGACATAAGCTCTCTAGTTCTGACGATGTCGAGAGTGCCATTGAGGCCATCCAGGGCATTTTGACACAAGGTCTCTGCAGGCTTCAAGTATTTGAAGTGTAACATGAGAGAAGCAAGTGCACGGTATCCTACGGGTTCAATCTTTATGTCTTCAAAGAGACCTTCGATACCTAGGACACCTTGCTTCTCGTTCAGAGATTCTCCCATGCTTCCGATCTCATGTTCGTAGTTTTTCTTGGCTTGCTGCAAAAGAGTAGGTTCCAAGTTGCTCTACTCGGGTCAGTAGGCATCGTGAGAAAGAAAAGGTGGAACTTACGGTCTTGATGGCATCCCTCGCTCTTCGGTAAGAAGCCAAGGCAGTGTCGACACTGAGGGAAATGTAAATTTGCCGCAAGTGAGCCTTCACGAGAGACATCAAACAATTCTGCGGGTTTTCTGAGACGTTCTCCCACCACTCAACCGCATCCTTGCTTAGTTGCTCTTTGTAGACGCTGAGGAGTTGACTCCATCTTGAGATTTTCTCGAAAACTTCGTCGGTGAATGTGCTCGAGTAGCTGGATCCAGTCCATTCCATCATCCGAGAGAACGACTTTTTGTTCGCCAAAGTGGAAGCCAGCGCCTCCATGACCTCAATTTGTTCCTCAGCTGTATGACTTTCAAAGTCAATGCGAAACCAGTGTGATACAATGTGAACCACTGCATAACGACTGAGAGCACTGGAAATTGGGAATGGGTAGTGGCCTGTAGTGCAGGCAAGCTTGGTGCAGTCTAGAAACATCTGCCGATGAATCTCCGAGGGCCTTATGCGGTGGGCGTGGATGTCGGTCTTGTCAGGTTCTTCAATAAAAAACGATCGCATCGAGCGCTCCTTGAATTTCACAGGCAGCTCACCGTCATTGTAGATGGCCTCGTGGTCGACAGCTGTCTGCGTCTTTTCCAACTCGCTTACAGCCGTGCCCCATCCGCCCTGAGCCTGGATCTTGACACGTTCTTCCGCATCAGACCCAGGATCACCAACCTGGAGAAAGCTCTCGAATGGCTCAGGAACCTTTTCAATGTCAAAGTTGACATCGTTCACCCACAATCGTACCAGTGAAACTACCTCGTTGAATGTCAATGGTCGGAAAGCGAAGGCTAGCCAGTGAAGGAGCTTAGACACAATGGGCTTGTGCTCGAGCTCAGTTCGACGGTAGCAGTCAGTCAACAAGCCTTCATAGATCCCATGAAGTCCCGAAGGCAATGGCTTTTCCAGGTTGCGAATAACAGCGCCTTCGCGTCCTAGGTTGTCAAAACGCGCAAGCATATGCGCAGCGTACAAAAAGTCTAGGTCATTAGTATGCCACGGTACATCTCGGTCGAATGAAAACCTTACTTGGGGCTACCTCCTCGACTTTGTCGGCAATACGTTGTTGGACGTAGCGATCGAACTTTCTCATGGTAGATAAGGAATTGATGTGACTCCAGATAAACGCCCTCAGGTCTTCCTTCTGGTTTTCCCTCGTGACATTGACTGCGAGCACGGATGATGATTCTTTAACAATGGAAAGAACCCCTGGTCTAGAAGTGAAAGCCACAGTGATCCTTAGATTCTCCTCGCGTATCACTTTGAGAAAACTAAGAAACTCGGCGAGATCATCGAGCTCATCAAGCCCGTCTAAGAGCAGAAGCAACTTGAACTTGGAAGCTTTACCAAAGGCAGGAACCAAGATCTGACGAATGAGCGATTCGGCGACATACGAATTCATGTCGAAGCCATCCTTGATTACCTCTGCATTGACCAGCTCACAGAGCGAAGCGTTGTGTTCGACAGTTTGAATGATGACAGTCGTGATGGCGTTGCAGAAGTTTGAGAGACTGGACGATTGTTCCCGGAAGTAGAAATGCGCGGCACAAGTAAGCTTCGAGGTGTCGTTCATGGCTTCACCAAGCAGCCTTTCGTAGACTGTGAGCCCGATGTGACTTTTCCCAGAGCCAGGTTCGCCGGTGATGGCCAGAGTTAAGTGGTCAGCTTGGCCCTGCTTCAGCCACTCGTCCCATGCGGGCTGCAAAAAGACCCAAGTGCAGGTGTCCTTAACAAGCGTTTCCTTCAAGACGAGGTACTCATGGCCGTCCCCCTCTACCTCAACTAGAATGTTGCGGATCCTCTTTGCGGATGGAGGCTTATTTTGCTCTACCGCCTTGGCACGTTGGTCATGGCCACGGTCCTTCTTTTCTTCGCGTTTTTGGTCATTGAAGGCTTTCAGCAACTTCGCCATGTCACTTTGGATCATCTCGGTGGTGTCACGAATCGAGTTCATGACCTGCATCTGCTTCTCCAGCATTGCAGTATGTGTTTCTTGGTTGGTCAACAACTCTGTGCTCATCTTTTGGATCTCTTCCGTATTGCCAAGGATTGCAAACTCTGTCGCTTGCTGGAGACGTCGAATCTTGAGATCCATGCCTTTACGAGCGCCGCCTAACTCGGTATCCTCGCCGTGAAGAAGGTTGCTGATCCACTTCTCTAGTAAAAGATTAGAAAACTCGAACGAGTGATCAATGTTGTTTGCATTTTGTTCCTTGACTCACTGAAACGGCCTAGCTCAATGAACTTGTGGGCAAAGCCACACATGACTAGGAAAGACGTGAAAACATCCATGAGACAGTTTTGATAACCCTTATGTTTCGGGAGTCGGGTCTCAAGAATCGTGATACGCTGCAAAAAGCTGTTCATGTCTTCAAAGAACACCATCACGATGTCATAGTCTGCCGAGACTTGGCGGCATGCCTGGATTTGAATGAGCTTGTACACGACATCGAGTGACGAAGAGCACCACTCACGCTTAGCATTATGGTGACCGCAGTCCCAATAGCTGCAGCTGGAGGGAAAGCTGGAACGGCTGCCGAGACGAGCTGCTGTGCGCCCTTTTCGATATAATCGAGATTGGCAGCAAACAGGCTTCGCAGTTTGTCTACTTTCTTGTCGTTATGGCGAAACTTGTGAAAGTTTTCCATTTCGTGGGTGCCTTGATCAATCATCGCCTGAACGCTATCGAACTTACGCTCCAGGTCGAACCCTACGATTCCTTTGTAGGCTTTGAGGGCCTCTTTCCATAGGTCGGAAACATCGCGATTGTCGTTCTTCACCGCCTCCGACACCTCCTTTTGGGCGGCGCTGGCTGTCATTGGTAAATCTGCTTTCAGCACAGGTCTTCGTTGCGCATTTGGCGAAGATGGAAGATTCTGCTGAATTGAGGACAGGGATTCACGCCGTATTTGTAGATGGTTTTCATTCGGGTCTTGAGTCGAACCACTGATAGGGAGGTAATGAAGTTGGGGGCGGTTTTGAAGCTAGACAGGGCAAGTAGCGCTTGGTCGGCAATTAGTTGCGAGATGGCGCGCTGATGGTGGCTCACGGATATGCAGCCCATGCTGACATGCAGCATCAGCTGAAGCCCAGAGGTCACACCGTCGCCAATCCTTTCACCAAGTGACGCTTATTCAAGAAATATCGTTGTCTGACACAACCTAGCCAAATGGCGTATCCAGGTACGACTTGCCGTTCACAGCAGCCCTACATCAACTTTGTTTACCCTAAATTGAGACTGATGAACACAAAAAGACTGTCGGCCCCCCAAGCACCAAAGCCCATAAAGACACTACGTGGGTGATTTGCAATAAATACTAGATACATTCTACCGTGGGTAAGCAACATCTTCTCCAGTGTCAAGTTCATGGTCATGGGAACCTTTCTGCGAGCCTATCCAGTTTTCGGGCGAGTCTTTGCTCCGCTACTGTCGAGTTCACTGAAAGCAGAAATGGAGAAACACACAAAATATTCCAACGACAGAGTAGATCGCTGCCTGCAATATGACAAGGACAGAGGGGATATCTGGAGACTTGTTCAATGAAACGCGGACCTCAACAATATCTTCCGAGGGGAGATGTACGCCAACGCCCAAATATTCATGATTGCTGGGACCGAGACGACAGCTACGTTGTTGAGTGGGCTCACGTTTCTTCTATGTCGGAACGCCGACAAATTGAGGATTTTTATAAAGAGATCCGGTCGCTCCATCTTCAGGACCTGAACATCATCAACCTGCAACGGCTTTCTTATCTCAACACGTGTCTAGAAGAGGGGCTTCGCATGTATCCCCCGGCTCCGGGTGTAGTGCCTTGTGTGGCTCCTCAAGAAGGGTCAACTGTCTGCGGGCAATTCGTCCCAGAAGGAGTAAGAAGCCACATACTCTCTGATCCTCGCTGATCATTATCACTAATATAATTATAGAGTATAGACGGCTACAAGCGTCGCTCAGTACGCAGATTACACTCCGGCCTACAATTTTGCTAATCCGCATGATTTTGTGCCCGAACGTTGGTTGGTTGAACCGCCCGAGAAGTACGCAAAGGACAACAAGGAGGTTGTTCAACCCTTTTCGTATGAGCTGAGAAGGTGCATTGGCAAGAAGTACGTATCTTCCAAGTTTTTGATTATTAACCCTGTCGTGATCCTTTGGCGAATTTGGGGGTCTAGCGTTGACTCTTTCTTAGTCTTACCTATCACGAGATGCGTCTCATTTTAGCCATAGTGCTGTGGAAGTTCGACATTGAGCTTGCGGATAAGAACTCGAATTAGATCGATCAGAAGTCTTTTGGTATCTGGAAGAAGCCTCCCCTGGGTGTTCATCTTTGTTCTCGTGAAGACCGTATGTAGGCTGTCAGCTTGGCGACAAGATGACAGTCTATTGGTCTCATTCGATTCGACGCAGATGCTACAGCAGTGGATTGACTCATCGTTCTCTGTTGTTCTTATTATAATTTTCATAGATAGGACAAGAATCAGCTAGAAAGGCTACGAAACACCTCAGCCCGAAGATGACCGCTTGCCTTCGTATTCTTTCAACCACTTCAGGACTTCTATGACGTTTTGATCCGGGGGAAACACGGGATACCAGTGTCTGATAATCTTACCACCCTCAACAGCCAGGGTGACCCGCTTGATCAGCTTTCGCTGTTTCCAATCAAAGGTAGGGAGTCTTGCAGCGGTCGCGAACTTCAAATTGGCGTCGCTCAAGAGATCATAAGGCAAATGGACCCTCTCTCGAAGCTCTTTCTGGGCTTCTGAACTCTGAGCAGACACGCCAAAGACCTGAGCTACCCCAAGGCCTTTCAGCGCCTCAAAGTTGTCTCGGTACGAGCAGGCCTGTGGCGTGCAGCCTCTGGCACCTGGGATACTGTTCCACTCGGGAGGAACTTCTTCCCCTGGTTCTGCAGTTCGTGGATAAATAAAGACAATTGTCAATCTATCCACTTGTGACAGGTCGACCTCCTTAGAGTCATTTTTCGCCGAGGGAAGTGGAACGCTTGGCAGATTGAAACCCGTAAGGTGGTCGCACGGCCCGTCGTCCTCAGGTCTGGGGAGGTCGAGGGGTAAGTCTGTACTTCTGTTACCAAAGTGCCTGTGATGCCGTTGAAAAACGTTGATTCGAATCAAAATATTTAACTGCCTCTTCAGTCATATGTTTCCTCTCATGGAGATTCTGCCCCTTGTGCTATCATGTTGGGTTCAGAGCTTCTTCATAGGTGCAACTCAACTTACCACTCATGATTGGGGCGTGATTTCTGGAAACTGCAGTCGCAAAACTGGGAGAGATCCACGAAGTTGCGGGGAAATTTTGGGGTTTGAGCTCGGGGTGTTGGTGAATCTAATAACCTTCGTGTGTGCTATGACGACATGTCGTTCCTGTGACTACGCCAGTTTAGGTAGTCTGTGATACTATGGAGCTTATGCTTCCATTCACCCGCAAGTCACATCGAGAAAAGCACTAACCTGACGAAACCGGATTTCGACGCTTGTATGGTCTTACTTGTTTTGTGAGTAACAGGACTCCGATTGCTGTACCCGGAGTGGGTCTTGAAAGATTACAACTCTGTGTGTTAATTCATTTTGCAAAATACTGCGCCTGTACATGCAAATTACATTATTGATCCTGGACCCCAAGAAGAAGAGAACAATACTTTGGCTGACTGAATTAGCTCCTTATAATCTGTATGAATCAAATCTCTGAATCATCCTTGGGAATACACTTTGCAGCATGGTGGGAGTAAGTGAGGCGTTGGTTGACGTTAATTTGTATAGTTGAGAACTGATTGATGATTATTCATTCTTTACATATCTATTATCTCATCAAGGCCAGGAGCTGAACTGGTCGTAGGCTCTCAATCCGAAGCCGCATGCGCAAAGACAGCAGCTAGTCATTCAGTTAATGCTGATCATCTTGCAATTACGCCCCTCATCCCTTGCGGTCTTGTTGTCGGTGTAAGTCGTGTGACGCTGTCTAATCAATTGGCTGATAATATGTCATGACTGGTATGTCTAGTGCATCTGGGTTTGGTCTATCGTACCAGAATGGTATCGAAGGATACATCTTCTTCCACATTCTCCTATAACAGTGTATGTAAAGCTCCTCACGATCTTCAAATCTTCTCTCGACCGCTCTACGCTCGATTCTTTCAGACTTGGCAAAGTAATTATCGGCATTGTCTTGGTCCCGGTCAATCGCGTCAAGTTTGCGCCGGGGAGAAAATCGGAAGATCCCCCAGCACCCAGCCTTGTTGTAATCGTCAATGGCAATCGTCCTTTTGTTGTCATACGCCCGTCGACTTTCGTTTCGACGCCGAAAGTGCATGGCTTTGATTTCATTCATCCGTTTTTCGTACTCGATGTGTAGATTTTGGAGACCCTCGCGTTGTTTAGTCTCCAGGGTTGATGGTGTTTCTTGCGAGGCAATGTCGGTTTCAGGTTCCGACCCTGAGGACGAGTCGGATGGAAGTTGTTCTTCGATTGGACTTTCTTGAACTACGCTTTCGTTCAAAGAAATCCGGTGGCTGACTTGTGTGAAAGATCTGGGCCGGCGCGGCACGATCAACGGACGAGCGGCGCTTCCGGTTCCTGGAAATGAAGACATGATGGACAACTGTGTTATGACGTGGTGTTGTACAAGCTGGTGAATTTCGCTGGATTCTGGGGAAGATATTGTTGACCTGTAGGCGGTATTGACTTCTGTATATCCCGATGGCATATGCTTTCTCCGATATGATCTTCAAGCATGCCGAAACCTGTCTCCGGTGCTCATGACCCTCAATGACTGTGGCCTTAGGCTGGACATTCGATTAGATCAACCCATAAAGACTAGTCAATATCAACAGCCTCATCAAGGTTCCGTAATGTATCATAAGCTACCGTTGGCGTGAGGGTTTCTTGATCAAGCACGGCTGAGGCGTGTTTGACATGTATTTTCACGCAAACAATTAAACTTTAGTGGAATATCTATGTTGTAAATCTGTAATACGAATAAAAAATGCTAGTACATTTATGGGACTCCTCTGGTATCTTAGTCACGATACTGCAATCTCAAAAGTATCGAGAGAAATCTGTATGTTATAATACTTGATGTAGTCTATCGAGACAGTGGGAGTATCCATTGATACTGTGTATTAATACTGTGTAATCGATATCGAGAACCGCCCGAGCAACCAGCAAAGGCAGAACACAAAAAATAAATAATACTTGATGTAATTGTGTGCTGTTGCGGAATTGAAGCATTATCGCCAACGCCAACATGACATGGAATCATCAAATTTGATCAACGCAGATCACTTCAAAATTAACGTAAATCTAAGGCGGTGGTTCAGTGATGTACTCTCTTCTTCCGCACGCATGAGGTATTGTTGGATTGGAAGTCCAATTCAACCTCGACGTAAGGGTGCCCGCGCAGGGGCCAATTACGGCCCCTACTTACGATTACCGCGGCCTGCCCAACCTACGGTTGAAACCTTCTTTTTACACCTACGCAGAAGATCATATAGTCCAATTGACCTCTTCGTCAACACACGGTTCGAACCAATTGACCTGCGGTACGGATACCATTAGGTATCACTCATGGGGACTTTGTATAATGAGGGTTCAGTAAGGCAGACTGCAGAGTGTTTTATGCATGTGTCCAATTATAAACTTGACATCTAAGCTTGAGTAGAGGCAACAACTAACATAACATCGCCATCTGTTGCGTCTGAAGTCCTAGATTCCAGCTGCACCCGCGGAGCATCCAACCATCGTTCTGCCAATGGCTTGCCAGCACCAGGCCAACCCTTGTTTGCCGAGGCAGACAGCGCAAAGACAGACTCGACTAGGACCATTTCATATCCGGCATCTAGGCCACCGGCAGTAGCATGAGAAATGACCGGTATTAAGGTCCTAGAGCAGGCCAAGTTTGTGTTCGAATCAGGCTTCAGTGGAAAACTTTCTGATATCGTCTGGTGACTGCTCGGTGACTGTGAAACCACGCCGCTGGCGCCTGCGGAGGACATGATTAAAGTGGAAAGCTCTTTCTGTAAAACGCCTTCGGCAGAGCCCAAGATGGCGTCTTTCGGAACCTCGGAGATGACAGGTAGAGGCAACCCGTCAGTCTGGCCGCCCTTTTTGCGGCCAGAGATCGCGAAGCCGCCCTCGATTGTGTGTAAAGTCTTGAGCTTCTCGTGCACTTTGATCTTGTGGACTCGAATATGCCAGTCCGGCCATCGGTCAGACGGTGGGATCAGCGTGGTGTCTATACTCACGGCTCTGTCGCCCCATGGATACCACTTGGCGCTCGCAGCTTGTACTTCCTGCGTGCTCGAAGCTGTCTTGATAAACGCAGTTGAGAAGCGCACTGGTTCAGACTTCCACTTCACTGCCCATGTCTCTCCGCCATCGCGACTCAAAGCAAGGGCGTTGTCTGGAGCAATCTGCTGGATTAACGGCCCCGTCGGTACGGAGAACGTGAAAGCGGAGGAGTACGCAAACTTGCAGTACTTAGCCTGGTTAGCCTTCATAGGCCACGCTACGAACTGTCCTGGCGAAAGGAGAAAGTGATGGTTGCTTCCAGGATGGTTGCACACAATCTGCTGAGGGGCTGGGACGAGCGCAACTGAGTCTGTTGAGGAAAGAGAGGGGTATGGCTCTTCATCTGCAGTCCAGAAGTCATCGTCTTCCGCAAGACCAACCGCAATGAGGGTCTTCAAACACCAGTACGGAGATTGGGGTGAGTTGTAGTCTTCGCAAAGATACATGTTTCTAAGCTGAGAATGAGCAAATATTCGTTTGAGGTGGCCGCGGACGGGCTGGGATGTAGGAGCACTTACGGATATAACCATCCAATGTTCATGGTACCATCGGAATAGAAGACATCATTAGAGTTGTTTGCCCACCATCTGAGATGTCTTAGTAGGAAGCCTTTGATGGCCCCGGGGGTGTGAAGAGGCTTTGGCATGTTGGGTACTTGTGCCAGAGCTAGAGCAGCGAAATACCCTCCGCAGGCGAAGCGATAAGTTAAAGACCGGCCGAAAGGTATAGCAGAACCTAAAAGGTCTTAGCACATTGCATGGGTGAAGTGAAATCACCAGAAAGA